GAAATTCTGCATTGCTAACTCCTTCGTCGTTTTCACCTCGACCTTCAGAGAATCGATCTCTTCGGCCTGGGCCTCTGCCCACTGCCTTAGCTCTGCCTTTTTCTTTATTGCAGGCCTCTAGAGCTTCAGTGGCCAAACGGTGGTGTTGATTGGCGTGATCAATTCGCTTAATTAGAGCAGCCACCTGGCACTCTGTCTCGTGAAGCTCCTTCTTCAGCTTATCCACTTCAGCATTGGCTTTCTCTAGTTGGCTCTCCGCCTCCGACCTCCTCTTCTCCACCTCAACAGCCTTGGTTTTTGCTACGAATATTGCGTCGCTGTAAAACAGATTTGCCTCCAGACGCTTAGCCAAATCGACATTTTTGGCCCTCGAATCCTTCACCAAACCCTCGAGCTGAACACTGGTGCTCAGGGTTCTGGTGAGACAAGCACTGTTGGCAACAACCAGATCCTTCGTAGTGCACGAAGTAGTATGGCCCTCCATTCCTCGGTCAATACTTACTGTGGACCAAGGTAACGGCTACAGTTTCCGGAGACAAGGCCTCCAACACTTCCTTCACAGGCTCCTCATCATTAGTGCCCAAAAAGTTCACCTCCTTCTCCGGGAGAGCCCTCTTTTTCCTCGCTGCCCCGACATTTGCGTGATTGGAATGGCAGGAAGTGGAGTATCAGTCGGGGTAACGGCAGTAGCGACAGCAGCAGCAATGGCAAAAGCAAGAGCTGCTGTCCTCTCCCTTATGGCCATGCCAGTTGGAATTGTGGTTTGACGAAGGACCAGGGCAGCCTTTGCCATAGTGGGCCCCTTCGATGAGCTGACAGCCCTCTTTCCCTTTTACTGAAGTGCTACCTCTGGGTCCTTCTCTTCCTCCTCCTCTGTTGCAAGCTAGAGCTGCTTGCTCGTAGCCACTAAGTCTTCTATATGTTTTTTGTGGGCAGAGGAAGAGGTCTTCAAGGCCCTTACTTCGGCCATCATTTTTTGGATCGTCTTAAAGTCAAGCCTCACTGCCCTCTTCTTGTTGAAGTCATCTGCAGCAAAAAAAAAAAAAATTAGTACAAGTATAATGAGTTCGGGAATTCATTGCAATGAGGACACTTCAGATAATTACCTTGCGGGGCCATCAGTTCGTGCGTAACGAGGTAAATTTTCTTCTTGATGAGCTCGTTGTAGGACCTCCTCTTCAACGGGAGCTGATAAACTATGCAGATTATATCGAATTCCTCAGCAAATAGCTCGCACAGAGGAAGAGTATCTGCAAGAACGAAGAAGAGTTAATTTTCGAGCTAAGGTAAGACACAAAAAAGCACAGGGCTCCAGTACTCACTAAGTGTTAAATACTTTGTGGGGACCGTAAGAGGCACTAGGGGGTCCCTTCCATTGTGTCCCATCTCCAAGAAGCCCAGCACCACGAGCTTTTCCATTTCTTGATGGAGCTCGGCAGATCGAGCACAAATGGAGCATGGGAACTCCATGAGGTCAAGTAATGCCACCCCCAGTCTTATCACCTCCAACTACTACCTTAGGGATTTACAAAGTTTGAAATACTAAAAATGGCATCTCCGCCCCAAGTGACACCTCCTTCATAGCATCCGGGACCCCACCATTTGGCTCCAAGAGTTCAAGTTTAGTTGGGTCGGAGTTAGGCCATAAGACCTCAAAACATAACAGAAGAAATGGTGGATCGACAGCCTAAGGCCAGCCCTAAAAAGTGCTTCACTCACAACCATGCATCCCGGCCTAGGGTAACAGGCTCAGGAAGTGTCAGGTCAATACTATCGGGATCCTATATTATTTCCTAAGTCTATCAAGGTCGCTAGGTTTCAATTTTGACGGGTAATCAGGCACCCCTCGGCACACAGAAGTGTCTACTGGACTATCAGGTCGTTTCCAAATGTTCCCCACCCCCGAAAATCACCTCGGACAATTCGGAGGACGTCGGTAATACGGGCTCATCTATCCTAACAATTTTTAGTTTCCTCCTAGACGACTCACTACCCTCAGAGGCCATATTTTTCAATAAAAATTGTGAAAAACTCAAGAGATACTTACGAAAGTTTACTGGAATTAGTATCCTAACACCGGAAAGCTCAAACCAACACCTCAAAGTCATCGAAAATCGTAGGAAAGCTCGACAATCACCAAAAATCACCAAAGAATTTGACGACAATAGGGCTTTTTTGAGTTTGCAAAAGTGAAAACTTTCGAATAGTATTAAGGCGCCCTTTTATAAGGAGCCTCAGGCAATCTATGCCGTTCAATTCAAAAACTATCTATCTGGCCATTCATCGCATCCCAAATCTGGACTGTTTAAACTAAAAGCCAAATTTGATCAACGCCTAAGATCTTGCTGTAACTCTCACGCTCGTATTAAACGCGTCGCCTCGATCTCCAATAGTCATTTACAATAAATGGCCGTAGCAGCCTTTTCTGGGAATGAACATCACACCCAACTGTCACCTTAGAAACAGGTGACAACTGTTACATTATTTAACATCACAATTGGAGCACTTCAGATCAAGTTCCTCAACTTTACAGAGCTTCAACTCACCTGAGGGTCATCACCTTGGACACAGCGTTTCTAAGTTTTACAGAGCTTAAGTCATCTCCCAAAGCGTCGTCCCCTGTGGGTCAACGCACCGATAGCAGATACGCTTCTTCCTCAACTTTAAAGAGCTTCAACGCATTTGAGGGTCATCGCCTCGAACGTAGCGTTTCTAAGCTTTAGAAAGCTTAAACTATCTCCCTACGCATCGTCCCCTATAGGTCAATGCACCGGTAGAAAATACGCTTCATCTCAGCTTTACAAAACTTCGACACACCTTACGCAGAGTCCCCTATGGGACATCACCTCGATAGCTGCGTCCCCAAGCCTTACAAAGCTTTGGCCATCTCCCAACGCATCGTCCCCTATAGGTCAACGCACCGGAAGCAAATGTGCTCTTCACTCAGCTTCACAAAACTTCGACGCACCTGACGCGGAGTTCCCTATGGGTCATCATCTCGGTAACTGCGTCCCCAAGCTTTATGGAGCTTTAGCCATCTCTCGATGTGCCGTCTCTTGTGGGTCAACGCACCGGAGGCGGATGTGCTTCTCACCCAGCTTCACAGAGCTTCGACGCACCTGACTCGGAGTCCCCTATGGTTCATCGCTTCGATCGCTGCGTCTCCAAGCTCTACAAAACTTTGACCATCTCCCAACGTATTGTCTCCTATGGGTCAACGCAGGGGTTAAAGATGAGCTCCTTCCACCTGCAACATCATGGCTCATACGCCTTGGGCGAAAGCTAATTGCCCTTCACGAATTAACGAACTATCGACCTAGATGACCCCCTATCGACGTCGCCTCGGTTTAATAATACACTCCAGCCCCAAAGCCTTCGACACATCTATTCACTTCGTGCTTTGGCATTAACTCTTCACTAGATACTATAAATCTCCTCTAAGATCAACATAATCGAACAAACAAGCCCACCCATGAAATGAATATTCATGCCTGAACTTGGGGGGGGCACTATTACGTCGATCATCAAACCACTTCGGCACGAGAAGGCCCACTCCTATACGAGGCGCCATGTGTCCCTACAAAGTGGTTCCGAAGCGACAACCCCGGCCGAACTCCAACTTGGCACACCGCAAGGCATATACATCACAAACTAAATCTACTGAAGCAATCGAAACGTCTCCTTGAAATCGATGCGTTTGGCACTCCGAGGTGCTCCCTTAACAGATCCCTCCGTCGCCAGTTTCAGAAGTATATTTGTGTCAGGATCCCCTATGGGTGACATCTCCATTGGTCTAGTTGATGTGATATATCAATTTTATGTCAACTCAACTCAGGAGAATTAATAACCCGCCCACTTTAAATGCGGCTGATTGACATCTACGAGCATTAATGCCTACGAGCAGACGTCTCATACTGTCATATGCATACACGTGTCCCACATCAAACGGTGCTCCTCGTCTATAAATATTCAAGGTTTGGTAAGAGACAAAGGTAATGAAACTCTCTCAAAACTTGACACTCCACATTCGAGCATTATATATTCTCCTCCCCAATCTCTTGCACAATTCCAGCACCATTCCAATCATTGACCACTGACTTGACCGACAGAGTGTATACGGTAGCCACTACCCCAACTAGTTTCGACCGTGTATTGTTGTGCGCAGGGAGGAACACGTAGAGTGGCTCTTGGTTGGCCACGTGGAGATCCAATTCGCGAGGTCAACATGACATATTTAATTCGATAAATTTATGATCGATGAATAAATTTTAATCTATAAAATTTTTGTGGTCATGAAATAATTTGTGATCTATAAAATTTTTTATTGTGACCAATTAGTTCGATAATTTGTAATTAAAATTGAATAGAATTGTGACCTTAATATATTTAATTAATTAAATATATGTTTAATTAATTATTTTATAAATTTATTTTTTAAAAAAATCAGATTTTTGAAGTATTGAACCTTGTTTCTGAATTTTAAAATGCAGCATACTTAATATTTTGTATAAGAGTTTTCCCCTTTATACCTATTTTTGTCATTTAAAATTATGTCATCTGCAAAACACGCGCCTATTTGATAAACGACTGGATGGTACATAGTGCTTCGAGTTATATTCCGTTTAGTGATAATGTACGAGTGATTTATGTTTAAAACACATAAACATCCATAATTCCGAGTGAAAATTCCTCTTGTTCATTGTCTATTTTATGCTTGATTGCTTGTCGATTGTGGTTGGAAAAGTCAATTTGCACCTTGAAGGAGCATAGGAAAAGAAAATAAAAATCAGTAGGTGGATGATCCAAGCAATGGTGCTCAGAAATTACTATTACTAAAAGATAAATATTCTAATCCAAGTATGCAAGTAATGTCTTTTTCACAGGAAAGAGAAAGGGCCGGTTCAGAAAAAAAAGTAGAAAACAACCATTTACTACTACTAAGGAGAAAGTAAGAAAGAGTTGTCGTCAAGACTCCTTTAATTTATTTCGTCAAATAGAAATGAATGAAAAGACCTTTAAATGACAACACCATGTACATTGTTCTATGAACTGCTGAATGCAAGAAAGAAAATGAATAGAAAAACTACATACCACGAGTCAAATAATTCAATACAAAAAGGTAACACAGGGTTTAACTACAACATAAATATCATTCTTTTCTTGTGTCCACTTTTGATTCATTGTGTAAATCTATGTTTTCTAAATTTCGAATAAGATAAGCTAAATCAAGAGATCACTGATATAAACAAATAACATTCAATTGAAAGGCTTGGAACAAGTGCTTTACGGCAAAACTGGTGGACGCCCATAACGCTAAAAGCCCTCCGAGTTATATTTTCCACAAAAAGTGATGCCAAAAGGAATTCTCATGCATCTGCTCTAAACATGGAGGTGTTGAGATCTAGGATGCAGAAAAGATTTCTGTAACTTATACCAAATACCTTCGAGAAAAAATTTCCAAGGGAGCATCCGGCTGTTTTCTGAACCCCATGTTCCTCTACCGTAGTCATAGTCAAATTATCACCGATTTTGAAGGGCTTCAACTGCCTTTTTCCACTGTGAGGCTCTTTGTTTTGAATCCTCAAACGACATGATTTTTTTTGGCTGCCAGAAAACCATTCACTTATAAATTATAATAGAAAATCTAATTCCAGATAAATATATAAGCAGAAGCAAGTTAACAGAATAATGATATGCATGAACCCTGGTAGGTCTCGTTCCAAGAATTAAATAATTTATTTTTTTAAGATGTCTTGACACAAACAGTGTTTCTTCCCCCGGTCTACTTTGCTTTAATCAAAACCAGACATGCTGCATGAAAACGGGGCAACACCCAGTTTTTAATTTCATGACATAGGATGCAGTCAAAAGTGTCCTGACTTAGAATGTGAACAGGTAACTCGTCATTCTTAAAAGTTGTCAAGTAATATTATGATGCTCCAAATATAACCACCACAAACTATCGTTATTCTCGATAATTTGGACTCAACTATGTGAATCCCTTTTTATCATTTGATGAAACGATCATTACATCTACTGAATTTTTGATGCTAAAAAATGATTCGCAACCATATCATGCAATGTTAATTTTGCTCTCATCTTGATTTGGCATCACTCTTGTGAAGTAGATTTTTTCCCAAGTACCACCACGGTCGTCCTTCCATTACAGAATTTCAATTAGTACCACTACCTCCCCACCTAGGATGCTCCAAAGACATTTTTACACAAATTGTAAGAGTGATTGATGGCATAGTAATGAAAGATATAACCACATGTCAAAAAACCATGTAAAAGAAGGCATATTCTGTCACTTAAGAAATTCAAATTTTGGATTATTTTTTGGGACTTGTATAAATGCATAGAAATATGCATGAATGTAAGATGAAGAGCTTCAACATTTTGTATTATCAGTGCTGGCTTCTTTCTGGTAATTTTCCCGAATATCTATATGTTATTTTCTTCTTTATTGATTCAGAATTTGAACCAGACTTTATGGTGTGTAGTAAAACAAATTGAGATACAGTGTGCTTCCCCCCATACTATTGGAAGATATAAAACGAAGTTTCATCAATTTATCAATCTTGAGGATGAAGTTAGAAGTATTTGAATGATTGCAAAAGATAAGAGGAAGCATAACTTACAGTGCAAATCTTGAAATTTGAAGGGCTTGTGACTTGAATGCTCAAATCATTCGGATTGTCAGACCATATTATGCTCCCCTTAACCACCAGTTTTGTGGGGTCTACGTAAAACAACTTTGGTTTATTGGTCAGGATAAGCTGTACTTTCTTGTTTGTTAGTTTCTGTAGTTTCTTGACCATTGAGATCATAAGGACGGATTCATCAGGTTCCAAGAATTGTTGCCTGTGTAAATTTCAGAAGGAAAGGATGAAGGAAACCATATGATACCAACAGAGACTCCATTTGAGATCTAGACGACAACAACAGTTTCTCAAATTCTCCAACTACAAAGCACTAAAGAAATTAGGGATTGTAAGTTCTGGCAAAATGCCAACGCAAAAGAACCTCAAAGAACAAGTCATGCATCAGATTCTTCACGAAATGAGCAATAACTAATCAAGAAATCAGAATGCATTGTTCATACAAATTATCCATCAAATTTCTCTTCTGACCAACAAAATGCTAGATTCTCCATCTCTATCTCTTTATACAAATACTTTGTTTCAGAGCGCATACCAAAAATCACACAGAGATAAAAATCCTACCGAAATTGGGAAGAAAAAATTAGCGACAAGTTTAAAAAGTACTATCCATTTTTTAAGATCAAGAAGAGTGACAGTGAAAAAATGTAAAGGTCGTGATTTTATGGTCCATGTCAAGCATAAACATGTGGCTTATCACACATATCAATGGATTAAAGTTCCTAGACATGAAGACGACATAAACTGGTCAACACCACACAACACAACCCACTAACACATTTGATCTATTTGTGTTGACAAACCAACATAACCTAAGTCATTTTCAGGTTTGACAATTCATTACACCTTCACTTTCACGAAATGACTTACCCTCCGTTAGGCAAATTTATAAATGGATAATAATGAATGTGCGGTTGAAATTAATGTGTGGATTTCACTACATTTATAAACCATTTATATATTAGTATTCAACTGAGACTTAACTATCCCCATTTAACGGATTTATATAGGTCAATTATTGAATCAACACGACCCATTATTTGAAGATAAACCAGTCCATCCCCAGCAAGCAATTCGTAACTCTACACAAGCATGACACCGCAAATCCATATAAACATCCCCTACAGACTCCATTTTTAGTATATTGATATAGGATTGGATTAGAGCTTACAGTTGTCAATAAAAGCAACAATAACACCAAACGTAGTTTATGTGTTTACGTATGAAATACTACTTTTATCAAGCAGACAAACCAGTGCATTTGAAAGTATCTTAATCAGGGTACCTAAATCCCAAGAACTAGATCAGTTATGAAAAGATAAGTACCAGAACTTACCATTTTGAATCAAATGAATCAATTGAAGCAAGCCTAGTTACGCTACCAGCTTCGGAAGTTGATGTTGCACCACCACTTCCACCAGTTGTTTTTGCCGAACCATCTCCAATATGTGCTGGATTCCACAGTGAATCTTGGTCCTCGCCCACATCAGACTGAGACTAAGAGAATCGAGACAGTAGTTAAATGTTGAGAATGAATTACTTATTTAATCAAAAATCACAAATCAAGAAAAAAAATCACTGGGAATGCAAAGAAGTTGCTACCCATTCTCGGAAAATTGAACGGGCTACCCGTCAATATAAAAAGTTTGCATCTTTTGAGTTCTTAAGAGTATTTGAATGTATCAAAACACCACACAACAAAAAAA